GTACTGCAAGGAGTCTAAAGAGGATATCCATAGATACTTTATGAGAGCTCGATACATGACAACACCAGAAGCAGCTGTCTATGCGATTCACCTCAAAAATCTGGAAGAATGCAGCCACTACACCAACAAAATCAGCAAGGAAAAGCTCGACGAATTCAATGATGTGGTTCGAAATTTATCTGAAGGAATCACGTTTTCCAAAGCTTGCAAGGACTTCATGATAGGCCACTACTTCTGTGAGAGCAAAGAATCAATCCCTGAGATAGAAGACTTGTTCAATCATGCCAGAAAAGGTAAACCTGTTCGAACACTTCACAAAATAGAAGGTGCAGGTCAGTTTCTTATCTCTTGTTCTATTAGAGGAGAAATGTTTAAAAACGTGCTTTGTGATTCTGGAGCTTGTCTTAACATGATGTCCAAGGCAATTGCTTTGAGACTTGGTATCAAACACCTGCGCAGGACTAGAGCAAAGATCAGCTTAGCTGATGATTCAAATGCAACACCTCAAGGAATAGCTCATGAAATTCCTTTGAGAATAGGAGATTGCATAGTGCCCGTCGACTTCTACATTGTCGAAACGAGAGATGCAACATATCCAGCGATTCTGGGATGGTCTTTTCTAGCAACTTCCGGAGCTATAATGGACTGGCCAAACCGGAGGATTTCATTTGCTAATATCGACAAAGATGTCTTCACAGAAGCTGTCCCATACAACAGCAAAGCAGGAAAACGTTCTGCAACTGAAGAGTTTGAAGAAGAATTTTGGAGTGACGAAGAACCTGCTAAGCAAAGCAAGGAGATGTCAAAAAATACTTGTCTCAGGACAAGGTCTTCTTCATTGGAATAAGTCACGTCCAACACCAAAAGTCGAGCTAAACGACTTAAAACAAAAGCGCTTAATGGGAGGCAACCCACTTAGGTATTGTTTTCTTTAGAATTTTTCTTTCTTTTTCTTTTGATCTTTTTCTTTTTCTTAGTTTCAGGTGTTTCTTATTAAACAAAAAAGCCAAAAAAATCAAAAAAACCAGAAAAAACCAAAAAGAAGGATGGTACCTGACTGCTCGGCCCAGCAGGAACCAAGGAGAAGCAGGAAGAGGCCGCGATATAAGCCCCCGCGGTCGCAAGTGTTCTGACCGCAGGAAACACCCCATCTACCGCGGTTGCGTGAATATGACCACGGCCAAGCACTTGGTTGCCGCGGTCGTGCAGCCCCTGACTGCGGCACTTGGTCGTTGAGATCCAAACCCGACCCAAACCACCCCTTTCACCCCCTTTCACCTCACCAATCACCCTCCACCTCATTCATCACCATCCACCACCTTCATCACCACCTAATCACCTTCCCAAACCCCTTCGAATGAATCCGGTTCATCTCCACCAGCATCCCAGATCCAGGTAAGTTCTCTTTGTCCTTACCAATTCGATTATTTATGCATTTTTCTCATCCAATCTCGACTTGTTTCACACTGAGGACAGTGTGATTTAAGTCTGGGGGAGGATTTCATCCCTGTCTAACCACTTTTCTTTCATGAGTCTTGCATTATCTACACTTTTTGCATTTTCCTTAAAGTTTTTCAAAACCGGTTTTCAAAACAAAATACGTTTTAAAGGGAATGGTGAACATGAATCAATGATAATTGACTGTGTGCTTTTAGACTGTTCCTAGTGACATGCTCATTCATGATTTAGGACTAGACTAGGCGGTAGCTAAGCACATTTGAAACGAAGTACCCCAGAGGAATTTGAATGATTTCGATTTAGATGAAAGGATACACTAGCTCTGTTTTATTTGGACTTAATTTGGACTTAATTTTCTCATTGAAGCATTAGACCAGGGAAACGAATCATACATTCAGGACTCCTTTATCCTTTTACCACTCTCTGTTGATCCTGAATGGCTAGTTCATCTTTAGCTAGTTCCCCACCTTAACCAATCCTCTTTCAAACCACATGCACTCTTGTTTTCTATTGTCTTATATGCAGATAAGTGCAAAAACGTTGGAGAGAAAGAGGAACGACGCAGTTTTCAGTCACCAAGGACAGAGACCTGCGATTTGCCGGAAAAGTTCCCGGAAGGATTCAACACAAGAAGAGGCTCAGTTTGCCTTAGAAAAATCTCAAATTTTGGTACAATCTCGTCCTCTAGTCTCTCTCTCTTTAAAAGGCATTTCCTTTCCTAAAAAAAAAAAAAAAAAAAAAATATCCGAAAATAAGAAAAGAAAGGAGATAAAAGCCTTAGAGAGTCTAGAGAGGTCGAATTTTAAGTCCCAAGACAACTGGAGTTTGATTTTATGGAGTTTTTGAGATTGTTTTCTGATTCTCGGAAAAAATCTAAGTCTGGGGGAACAGCTGTTTACAACAAGGGAGGAAGGATTATGCAACAACATTTGGCAAGAAGAAGTGATTGAAAACTGTGGTCATCAACAGGTCCTTATCTCTCTTGCGGTTTTGCATATTATCTTGCATCCTCCAGATCTTCAGGTAACCCAAAAACACTTTAACTCCACCACTTAAATAGCCCTTTAATGCCAAACGCCGTCTACTCTGGATGATGTCTTTAATGAGAACTCACTAATGAACTTAATGAATGTAGAGAGCTAGTTGACCGAAATCAAGATTTAAATTGTTTAAGTTTTGCATGACGGAAAAAGTGGACTAGTATCTCTTGTGCTTTGGTGAGAATTTTCTAGACTAAGTTGTGGATTGATGCACTATCTTTGGTCCTAGTTTAGGAGTTCATGTCTAGGAGTTCATGTCTATCTTGTGTTTTCACTTAACCAGTTTAGGCTTTTGCTTTGTTTGAGGACAAACAAAGGTTTAAGTAGGGGGAGTTGATAACACCGTATTTTGACCACTTTTATGGATCGTTTTGAAATACTTTTTCTATGTTTTTAATTGCTTTTAAGTACTTTTATTATGTTTTTCTAGTATTTGTAGTTCGAAGACTCTTTTCAGGTAACTTAGGGAAAAGCTTAACAAAATGGATAGAAAACCAGATTTCAGCTCAGAGTCAAACCGTCAGAACTTCACCCCTGATTGAAGGCCTTCTTACCGTCTGATCCAGCTTAAAATTGGAGACCTTAAATATGGAAGTATCAGCTTTCCAGTGCACTTTACAGATTGGCAATCCAATGGTTATATCAAAAGATACGCGAATAGCAAGATGTCCCGTAAACCAGCCGGCAAGCACTTCCACCCGCGGCCAACAAGCATTTTCCCGCGGTCAGGAGCATCCCGACCGCGGCAAACCATACATTCCCCGCGGTCAGAGCACTCCCGACCGCGGCCTTCAACCTCCAAGCCCAAAAAGCCCATTTCTGAAGCCCACATTTGGAGAAACCCTAAGTGACGTCTAGAGAGGTCTTGAGCACTATAAATACATGTCTTAGGAGCCCTAGAAATCGTATGCTACCTTAGAGACCACCGAAATATTTACTTCATACTTTTATTGTTTTTGCTTTAGCTTTTAGGGAGAGAGAGATTTGTTCTCTTGAACCCTTGTTCTTTCTTTATCAATTTCGGTTTCTATTCTACTTCTTAATATTATGTCTTTGATTTTGTTCATTATGTCTGAGTAGTTTTATTGTTGGGATTAAGGGATTTTTGATGGGGATATATATGTTCGGTGAGGATTCCATTGGCTATTGAGCATAATCTTAGAACTTTTTCTTCTGAATTCGTTTTTACTGCATGAGAGTAGCGTCATGAACTACAATCTGATCCAGATGCTTGGTGACACGAAAGTGTTCATCAGGTATCAGATCTAGTTTGGGAGAGCAAAACAAACATAGGAGTGGAAACCTACCTATGGGCGATTTGTGAATTAGGACGAGTCTTAAACATAATGCATCTCTTCTCTTCAAGGGCCAGAGTGGAAACCTACTGGTCAGGGTTGAGAGAGATAGTTGTCTATGATCACGACAGTGGCGTATTCATACGTCCGTGACTCCAGTTCAAAAATTTTAAGCTAAGATCTTATCAATTACTCTCTAGCAATGTTTTGAATCGTTCGTACCCCTGAGAAAACTTCCCTGAACCCCGACGCTTTCTTCTCCATTGTCTTACACCGTTTTTCTTTAAAGCTTTAGTTTAATATTGCCTTTCCTTTTTAATTCATTTTCATTTAAGCATTAGAATATCCGTTTTTATCATTTTTAGTCATTTTCATTAAGTTTAGTTATTACGTCATTTAATTTCCGTATTCTCTTTTAATATTTCGTTTTTAGATTTTAAACACACTACCAAACCCCCACTAAACCATTTTTGTTCTAGACTTCCTTACTTTAACTTATTTCAAAGGCTTTTTGCAGGAAAAGATCCTCCTTCCCTGTGGATTCGATCCCTAAGTACTACAATCGATCAGCTGTGCACTTGCGGCTATTGATTTCAATTAGGGTAAAACTTGACACCCACAACACGACCACCATCATATAGCACCATCTCAGAGAACTTCCCAACCATTTTCTTGAAATCCAGTTGATTGCCACGAGTCTTCCTCCCTTCATTCACCTTACCGATGATATCTGAGGCTGAATGATTCCGATGAACTTGCTTGGTGTTCTCCTGAGTCACGATCTGAGGCTCTTCGGTTGACACAGATGGCTGTTGCATCGCCTCTGCTGTCTGTGTTACCCGATCCACTTCATCACCTTCAGAATCACTCCCGATCAGAGGCTTCTCCCATTCCATCTGAGCGTAGTCATCGAACACCACATTGACTGACTCAACCAGAACCTTCGTCCTCATGTTGAACACACGAAAGGCTGAGCTATGACCTGAGTAGCCTAGAAAAATTCCTTCATCACTCCTTGAATCAAACTTTCCAAGATGATCCTTATCATTCAAGATGTAGCACCTGCATCCAAAGATATGAAAGTAACTTACGTTAGGCGTCTTTCCTTTCCATAATTCATAAGGAGTTTTTGATGTTCCCTTTCGCATGTAACATGCTGTGCTGACTGCTTCTGCCCAAAAACGTTTGGGAACTTGATTTCCATAGATCATCGCGCACGAGCCATCTCCTGAAGTGTTCGATTCTTCCGTTCCACTACGCCGTTTTGCTGTGGAGTTCTGGGTGCAGCAAACTGATGAGCTATTCCATGACTTTCACAGAACAACTTCATGAACTCGTTCTGAAACTCTCCTCCATGATCACTTCTGACTCGTTTGATTGAACCTCGTTCATTCATGAGTTGTAGAGCCCAGATTCTGAAGCTGTCCGCCGTGTCAGACTTTTCTCGGAGAAACCTGACCCATGTGAATCTGGTGAAGTCGTCAACCAGCACAAACACATACTTTTTACCTCCCAAACTCTCTGTCTGAACTGGCCCCATCAGATCCATGTGAACTAGATCAAGTGGTGCTTTGGATTTTACATCAGGTACTCGTTTGTGTTGAACTTTGACCTGTTTGCCTTGGTTACACGCTCCACACACAAACTTATCACCTCCCTTAATCTTTGGAACTCCTCTAATGCTCTCCTTTGAGATGAGATCATTGAGATTCCTGATGTTCATGTGTCCGAGTCGCTGATGCCACAATTGCAGATTATCACAGGCAATAAAACAGCTCATAACCGACCCTGACTTGTTCCACATGTAGCAATTGTTGCCTGATCTTTCTCCAGCTAGGATTGACTTATGCTGATAAGATTCACCTTAATTCCCTTTACTAAGTATACATTGACTAGATCAGGCTGATCTTCGTCTTTTGTAATACCTATTCCTTGTATGGCACCGACACTTCCATCACCAAACGTAACTCTTCCTCCCTTAATTTTCTTAACATTTCGGAGGTAGCTTCGGTTTCCAGTCATGTGCCGTGAGCAGCCACTATCGAAGTACCAAGGCTCTGACTCGTCTTCGTCGCTTTCAACTTGTGCCATGTTGCAATTGAATCCATGCCACAGCATTGACATTGGATCAACTCTGGAAGATCTCTTAACAGTGAATTCTCTCGGCTTGATGGGATTCTTCTTCAGTTGTCCCTTAGATTCAAATCGCAAATCCTCTTTCCTGACCCAGACTTGATTCGTGGATCCATTCCAACTGAACTTCCGTTGCTTCATCAGTTTCTGAACCCTGTTCCATCTGCTGTAGCAGTATGCCTTGATATGTCCGATCTTGCCACAGTAATAGCACTCTCGTCCTTTTCGCGGTTTGGTGGCAGATCTTCGTCCTTCAGGCTGGTTGTATTCGGATGAGACAAACTTGATTTCATCTGAGCTCCTTTGTTCCCATCCACTGTACCCCAGCCCATGCTTTGTATTGGCTTGACATCCGTAGCTCATGATCTTGTCTAGTTGCTTGGTCCCTGCGAACATCTGAATCTGCTTCTTTAGCTGATCTAGTTCTGACTCCAGCTTCTCCGATATTTGCTTTTCAACCTTTAGATGCTGCCTCAGACTTTCAGCTTTGTTGGCTAATTCCAGCTTCTCCTTGATCAAGTTGACACTTCCCTGGCCAAGTGCATTTGCTGCTTCGAGATCTTTGCTGAGCTTGTCTACTAGTACGGACGGTCTCTGGTTTTCTTTCTTCAATTCACTGTTTTCTTTGTTGAGGCTAACCAGGACATGACGTACTTCCTTGTAGCTACTTATGAGATCATCCTCCTTTTCTTATTCAGGCTCTGACTCTGACTCCTGTCCCTCCTCAATTTCAGCGATCCCGATAAACGTCACAAAGTTGTTTGTCTCTTCAACTGAGTCATCCTCTGAGTCATCATCCGATTCTTCCTCAGCCAACATGGACTTGTCCTTCCTGCGATTTTGATCATTGACACATTCCAGCTGAGTGTGTCCAAATCCTTTGCAGCCATAGCACTGAATCTCCCGTCGCTTGATAGTAGGACAGTCATTCTTGAAATGTCCATATCCCTTGCACTCATGACACTGCACCTCACTCTTCATGTTAGACTTGTCCCCCTCAGTTGTCTTCTTGAAGGAGGCAACCTTCTTCTGAGGTTTCCCAGTTTTCCGCAAAGCACGATCAAATCTTCGAACCAAAAGACTTATGGGATCGTCTTCCTCATCTTCAGTGGTGCGGTTTTCACATTTTAGAGCTAGACTTTTAGGTTTCTTCAGACTGTCTAGCTCCATCTCATGAGCTTTCAGCATGCCTACAAGTTCACTTAATGGCATGTTCTCTGTGTTGCTGGACACACTGAGTGCAGATTTGTACCACATAAACCTCGATGGCAGACACCTCAAGAATTTCTTCACCAGCTTCTTATCTTTGTACTTTTTGCCCAACACAGCTGCTTCTTGTGCCAGAGCACTTAGTTTTGAACTGAATTCAGAAATGGTTTCATCCTCCTCCATTTTTAGATTCTCAAAGCGAGAAACAAGCATGTCCTTTCTGGAGTTTTGAACCTTTGTTGTTCCTTCGTACTGCATCTGAAGTATGTCCCATGCTTCTTTGGCAGTCACAACACCTTGAATCAGCTCAAATGTCTTTCTTGATATGTTGGTGTGAATGGTAGTCAGCGCCCTTGAATTGTACTTTGCTCTTTTTGACTCCTCTTCAGTCCAACTTTCTTCTGGTTTTGGATGAAAGACTCCGTTGGCATCAGCTACCAGTGGTTCTTCCCATTTATCAGTTACTGCCTTCCATGCCAGTGGATCGATCCCTTTGATCATGGATCTGATCCTAGCTTTCCAAAACCCGTAGTTCCCATCATCCAGGATGATCCTGGAGTTGTTCACCATTTCCTTATAGCTCTCCATTTTCTCTGCAGGATCTCACCTGTTTGTAATACACACAGATGACCGCTCTGATACCAAATGAAAATGTAAGAGTAGTAATACGGGAACTAACATAGAACACAACACAGGGATTTTCTCTTCAAGAATATTTCACTAGTAAATCTGTTTGTAACTTACAAGTATACAGAACCCGATTTAGAGCAACCTCAAGACACACCTTGATTTGCTACACTAGCCTCACCTGTTCTTGAATCGATACGTGATTCAAGAACCTCTCACCCAAACCCCTTAGCACACTAGCTCACAGAAAACTCTCACAGATTTTCGCTCACCCTTTGCTAAGAATTCTCTTAGTTGTGTTAAAAACCCTACAAGGTTTTTCACACGCCTATTTATACATAATAGGACTTGCGGCTACTCTAAGCCCAGACTCTCTTTACGATTTCTCCAAATCTTCATGAGAGTCTTCACCTTCCTTATCTTCTCCTAAGATAGAGGAAACTTGATATTTTCTTCAAAGATCCTCCAAGATACTCTAAGCTTCCTATCCACGTCAGCTTCTCGTCTCTTGAAGTGTCCAGCACGTCCTGCAGCTCCAGCTCAGCTTCCAGCTCACCTCCACGTGTGTAGATTGCTTCGCAAGTCTTCCCGTGTCAGTCCCAGAGCTAGGCGGACTGCTACACGTGCTGCTCCAGCCTTGTTTTCATCTTCACATTATGCATTGTGGTTAAAAGCTCAGGTCGATCATGATGACATGACATATGCAGTATGGTTTCATGAGTTGCTCCATGTTCATATATCTAAGATAATTACTGCAGCTATGTATTTCACCGGTGGCTATGTTTTCCATACTTACAGTCATGGCATTCAACGGGCAACTACCAAATATGAAGTTTGTGTACGAGGTGAAGTGGACTTTTATGAGATCATAAAAGAGATAATTGAAGTGGAATACCCTGGATTAGTAAGGATGAAAACTGTTCTATTCAAATGTGATTGGTTTGATTCAACGGTGGGTTGTGGAGTGCGTATTAACAGTTCGGAGTGGTAGATGTAAATGCGTCACGACGATGCAATAAGTTTGAACCTTTTATCCTTGCATCACAAGCAGAACAAGTCACATTTGTTCCAAATCCTCGAGTTCGAAGTAATGGAATTTCATGGTTGGCGGTTATTAAAGTTGCTCCAAGGGGTATAATTGATGGTGTAGATCTCCCGCCTATGCAACAGGATGATTGTGTAGACATAACTAAACCTGAGGTTGAAGAACGTGTTCTTTTAATTGATCCACGTAATCGACAAGTTGAACATCTCCATGGGGACGACACTGAAGAAGCTGCTGATGAAGATGATGAGATTGAGGACGGCGATGAAGATGATGAACAAAATGACATATCCCCGGAAGACGTACATGAATGCTAAACATAATATTAATCAGTTTGTCTCATTAAATGTAATTTTAAATGGTTTAGGCAGGGAAATATTGTTAAATAATATAAAAGTAACTTTTTATTACTTACAAATGTGTAAAAGTGAAAGACAATCAAATTAAAAAAATTGTCAAATGTTGACTTTAACCAGGCATTGGCTTTTACGATGAATTTACGACGCTTTTGATAAAATCGTCGTAACACTCTAACCCTAACCAATAGGGTTTAGCTTTCTCACTTTATACAAGTGTTGTTTTGTGCAGTTTCCTGAGGAAACACATTTATGCTAAAAGGAGTTCTAGTAAAAGATCCAAAAACTTGTAAATCTATGCTAAACGTTACGTCGAATTTACAATGATTTGTACAAGATCATTGTAAATTCGACGTAATTTTCTGTCAAAGTTACGAAGAAATTCCTCATATCCTGTAATCATCATTTCCTGGCCTATATGATGGATTTCAAGCATGAAAATTATATGGTTTACATGCTCATAAGATACATATCCGTTATATACAAAAAAAAAATTGAAATTTTTTCACATATATATGTTATCAAGTGTTCTTAAGTACATATATACATTTAGGGAAACATGTAAGGGCTCATCTTAAACATTAGATATATTCATCATTATGCTATGTATACTTACCAGAAGTTGTATTGCACATATATACAATATTTAGTAATGCATGTAGATACTTGGGCATGTAGAAATTTTTTCATTTTATCAAATTTTTCAAAATATATCGTAAATCCGTCGTAATGTTACGACATATTTACGACGATCCTTGGAAACTCAGCCGTTATGTAAAAAATGATTTATAAGATATCGTCATAATTTCGTCGTAACATTACGACGGATTTACGACAATTTGCGAGCATTGTCGTAAATCCGTCGTTTAATCCAAAGATAGTCATGTGTGTTTGTCTTATATGATTTTTGGATCGGTGGATATTATGCGTCAGATTTACGACACTTTCGTCGTAAATTCGTTGTAAATATACGATGGATTTATGACGAATATAAAAACTATTTATAAGGATGCATATTCTCCACTTCGTTGCTCATTCCTCCTATTCCTCTCTCTCTCTCTCTCTCTCTCTATCTATGCCTTCTCTCCTCCGTTTTTCTCTGAGTTTTCAGGTATTTTTTTCTAATTTTTAATATATATTTATAATATATATAATTATAATTAATATTATTTATAATTAATTTAATTAATATAGGAAAATTAGTTTAGGTTTGGAATTAGTTTAGGTTCAGAATTTGTTTATAATTAGGTTCGGAATTAGATAATATGTTCAGAAAATAATTTTAATTAGTATTTGTCTTTTACAGACGATACCTCATCGGAGAACCTACTACATCAACTTTATGGCGGTCGGACATTCTCTATCTCGGACGTCTGCCTCGGGTAATACCGAGATCCCGTCTTCCTTTGGAGCCTTCCAGGTTCCGAACACGGCAGTTGAGCAGTCTCCACCACCACCTCCACCACCGGCACCCGAACCCCGCCTTTCGCTTCCGTATGCCCGGTATACGGTGGAGGACCTATTAGCCCTACCAAGACGGGAGGGTTTACGACGGCTGGTGCCCAGAAAAGCGATACCAGACTCTTATTGGCAAGTGTTTTTTTCTTTATCTTATTATTCTTTTGAAATAAATCATTGACTTAATTAATAATATACTTATGTTTTATAGGTTTGGCTTGGATAATTGTGTCGGCCGTAGCGTTTTCGACACAATTAAGAGCTATTTCGTCGAGCCTCACTACAACTGGGGCAAGGTGTCGCAAGACATTTTCGATACCTGGTACAAATGCTTCGCGGTAAATCTCTCTTTCTCATTCTTAATTTTAATTATTTAAATTTTATTACATATAAATTGTTTTAACAACTATATTGTTTTATTTTGCAGCAAAGATGGAACTGGGACATCTCGATCAACGAGGAGGTCCTGACACAGTTCCGCCTTCAGGCGATGAAACGTCTTGTCAACACCGTTCCCGACTGGAAGCAGAATTGGGAAATAGACGGCGATGACGCGAAGCCGAGCTCGATGTCTACTTACTGCTGGAACGGGTTGAAGGCGTATCGAATGGACCCGCATGCACAAGAAATTGCTGCTAAGTGTTCGGGTGTTCGAAACCGGGTCGGTCCTGACGGTCGGAAGTTAGTGACTCCGCACACTTCTGGTCAAGTATCATTTGCAGGAAGACGTCTGATGATGATAATTAATTTTAAATTATTTACTTTTATATTTTTATATAATTTTATATATATTTACTAATGTTTTAAACTTTTTTTTGTGGGCGGAGGAGAAACGGAGGAGAGCTTCCTCCAATGACAAAGCTCTTCGAAGTAACTCACCGGAAGAAGGACAGAACTTTTGTAGATGCTCGGTCGGAAGAGATCTATAACGAAGCTATGACGAGGATTGCCGAGCGGGAGACCTAGGTCACATCTAACGGTACTATCCAAGTACCTTTGAACGTTCTCAAGCAAGACAAGATCTTCAAAGAGGTATGATTTCAATCCTTTTAATTTAATTACTATATATTTATCTGTATATATATAGTTATGATCTACCGTTTTCACTTTTATTTGTAGTTTGCTTCGAGGAAGAAGGGTCGCATTTTAGGGATGGGCTCTATTAGAGACTGTCCCGTCGCCTCGTCTTCGGGAAGTCGCACGTACGAGGATCCGGCTCAACTGCGACAGGAGCTTGCTACAGCCAATGCTGAGATCACCAGCTTACGGGATGAGCAAGTGGTCCAGAAGCAAAAGATCTCTGAGATTAACGGTCTCTTCGACATCATAGCGACAGCGGTTCTGCAGTTGGCTATCGCAATCCGAGAGAGGCAACGCAGGTCACGGATTCTTGGAGGGGGTTCTTCCAGTGGATCTTCTGATAAGCAGACGACCCTGGGTCAGACTTCGGTTCCCGTAGTTCAGATGGAAAACGACGGTACAGCGGTTTCCGACGAATATGACAGAGAGCCTTCTCGGAACTTCGATCTCAACTTCGAAGATTTTGATATCACTTTGTAGATTAATTTTAATTTTTAAAACATTTTGTATTTTAATTTGTATTTTAATATATTAATTATTTTCTAATTTAATTTTTTAATTCTAATTTTGTGTTATTTAATATTAATTTATTAATTTATTTTTAATATTAATTTATTAATTAAAAATCAGATTTTCATTAATATTTTTTTAATATACGACGTAAAATTGTCGTAAATTTACGTTGACGTAACGACGTTTTACAACGAATTAACGTCAAAACGTTTTTACGACTAATTAACGTTAATAATTTACGACGAATTAACGTTGATCTCTGATAATTTTAATTGTTTTTGATGAAACAAATTCATGTGTTGTCTATCCTGATTGAATTTCTAAAATTGTTCCCAAAGGTTTTAATAATCTAAAAGAATCGATTCCATATTTTACAAACAATAAAGCTTGCAAACAACAATGGAAAAAGATGAGTTCTTTAGAATGCAAATACATTTGGGAGCACCAGATTCGAGCTTAATGAGATGCTTATGCAGAATAGAAAACACCTTACGAGTCTAGAAAACTTG